AAACATCAAATTATGTCTAGGTCACTGAATGGGTGGATACCCTATATTCTGTTTAATGCATATGTTCAATTGCACACGTACTTCAACCAACTGTGTCTTTATTTTAATAACAGACCAAGTACTGAAAACACATAAAGAAAGACTATTTTTCTACCTCAGCAAAAATACAGCTGATACACTGCATGACCCTTCAAGAGCAACTGCTCTGTTTGTTCTATTTGCATTACATGGCCCGACTGGAAAAGGGAGAGAGGGGTGACGATCAGCAAAAAGACCAGAAACCCATTTTTAACAATCAGTCCCCCCAAAAAAACTGTCTTGCTTTTCTTACTGTTCCTGTTAAATTAGAGGTTTCTTCCTCATTATGTATCAAAACATGTAAAATGCAAGATTTTACATTTCTTCCAAATCCCTACTGAATTATATCAAATTACAAGGCAACATTTTCCAACTACACAAGCACAGACAAAACATAAAATATGAACATAAAACACAAAAATATTATCTATGCTGGTTCCTGAAACTAACATAGATTTGCAGCTTTCACGCTTGTGTATTTCAATGCACTTTATTCTTTCAAACAGCTACGTATCTCTTTCAGGCAGCAGGAAGGTATTCTTCATCTAGGATCTGGGCAGGAATCTAAAATTCAGCCTTTTGCTTTGTACAGTTCCTAAGGACAAGTGAAACACACTTCCTTACTGCGTTCAGGATGCCATGTTAACTAACCATTTAGAACAGAGGAACAAATTTGATCAGGCTGTATTCTTCCATCTGAACAGAAGTGAATTTTCGCTCCAATCAAGCACCTTGAATCCTTGTAAAGACATAAAAGTCAGTACAAAGCCTACAATATTTTTACATAAATATGTAGAATGGACCTTGGCAAATAGCTCTTTAACCATCAGCCCATGTTTCTGTCACCCCAGAGATATATTTAATATATCTTTATTAAATACAATAAAACTGATTTCTGACTACACTTAACCAGACACAACCACGGTACACTGAACTTTAGGGAGCACACAGCAATCAGCAGCAGCGCTCCAAAGAGTCACTGTATCCACATTTCTGGTACATCTGACTTTGTACAAGCTCCATAACTACAGCTACTGATTAACATCCTGATCATACACTTGGGTTTGAATTGCCTGAAAGCTCTTCCCTCCATTAATATTTTGTCAATTGAATCATAGTTTTTAACAGTTAAATGAACATATTATAGGACTGCATCAAACTAATCTAAACAAAAAATGTTTTGCAATCATTTCCTGCTCCAAATTTGGACATGTTTCCTTGGCTATCATTTGGTTCTCTGTTTCTTTTTCAGCAAAACCAAACTTCAGAACAGCTCATTCTGCATACTGGCTTTCCGAGGTTTTTGACACTTATTTTCTACACTCTTCAAATCAACACACACGCATATATATGCACATCCACTCTTACACAAACAGGTTGACAAACTGCAATCAACAATTCTGTAAATATAAGTTTCCCAGTCATTAATCATCCCTCCTTTTTTTAATCCTTATGGAGTGAATTACTAACTGAGAGGAGACGCCAATTCTAGTAAGTGAATGTTACCCAACAGGGATATAAAGCTGTCAACACTATAGTGCTCTTGCTTGCTCTAAACTCTCTCCCAGGCTTCATATGTTTTTTAAAGCGATATTAGCCTCTTTTTCCAAGGAACCTTACTCTCCTTAAAATCGGAGCACTTGTGTTTTATTACATACAGGTTTTAAAACAGATTGGTCAGATAACTGCTGAAACATTATAGAAAGCATTGAGTTACTCAGGCAAACCAAAACTGGACTCTAATACATTGGACTGACGCTAACAACATTGTAAACAGTACCAAAACTTTTAAATCCCCTATTAAACACAACCTTTAAGACCTCGTTTATCTTTTTAGTGACCTTCACTAGATTATTACAGCTGCTGTAATGGCCCTCTGAATTAAGTACACTCATGTTAGGGAATAAAAAAACAGGGAAAGGCGTAAGTCAAAATTTCTCATGAAAACAACTGATTTTCTGTCTGCATTACAAAAGCTTATTTTAAAACACTTTTTCACTCATAAAACTAGTGAGAAAGCTAGAAGCACCAATAGCATTATATTTCTCTATTTCTCAGGGAAGTCACTAGAAAAATAATTGCAGCAAACAGTACGATTATAAAACTGGCTACCAAAGGTCATCAGGCTCATCATAGCAGCAGGTAGTTGAGAGCTTATTGCTCTGTTCTCACGAATTAACTTCAGAAACGGATATTATTACAACAAAAAGCCACCTGAGAAATAGGAAGGAATTTCAGCATTTACATATTTAAGGCCCAAAATGAGATGAGAAAAAGAACTGCTAGCATTTGACTTTGCTTTCAAAATCTTTAGACACACATTATGGAATTAAAAATAAAACAAAACAAAAACTAAAATGGTCTCTAGTTTTTGGTAAAGTATTTCCATTTTTGTCCCAAATGCAGTCCACATTCAGTAAGTACTTGCACTTGTTAAAGCCCAAGAAATAAGAATACACAGAAACACTGACAACTGAAGCCTTGGATGTCACTTCACTATGACTTTCAGTAGTTTCCTTTTTGTCAGACTCTAGGCACAACAGTAGGAGAGTCCTTATCAATATTTATTTAATACCATTTTTACACTAATTTGCCAGTAAATTAAAAGTAAGCCCTTCCACAAATGTCTACACGTGCATTTCACAACCCCAGTGAAAAAATTACTAACACCACAGTAACCACTGCAAAGATACAGACTTCCAAAAATACCCGAAACAGGTGTGATCTGCATTCAGGAAAAGATCACTTGATCATAACAGGTTCTTAAAGATCAAACTTGAAAAAGAGCAGAAGAAAAATACCTGGAAATCAGCTATTTTGATTTATTGTAAGAGTATTTCCAGGAGAAAAAAAAAATCAATTTTAAACAGCACCATTATCTTATTAAAAAAAAAAAATCTGCTTTAACTAATTTAGTATTGAGTATTATAGAACCTAGGCAAGTATTCAGACAAGAATAATTTTCTTCTTGCTTTCAGTATCAATAAGGAATAATGAATAACCTTTATTATGAACAGCCTAAATCCAAAGAGACTGAGATTGTTTAAAGAACACTAGCTAAGTGGGGGGAAAAAAAATTACTGCTACATTTCTTATTCCCCCCACACTTCTAACACTCCAGTCTACAACACCTTTATAAATGAACTGAAGAATAATGAATGAAAGCTTAGGTTCTTAAAAGTTTGCTTTCAGAAATGAAAGTACTTTTCTTAGGTGGAAGAAATATTCCATAGCTTAATAGGCCAGATTCAGGCTAAAACACCGATACAGCTATAAAAGCCACTGAATTTCTCTTGGAAAACACAGCTGCAACTAGAAAACAAACATATTTCAAAACATTTAAAAGAGTTCTCTTAAAGTACATTTCTATAAATACCCCAAGGAAAAAGATTTCAGCTCTAATTCTAACATTCCCATAAAAATCAAGCAGCTTTAATGCCCAAGTCTCGAAAAAGGCATCTAAAACTACATATGCTACTTTTTATATTATTAATTAGCTCCTTTTTACAATTACTCAACAAATTATTTCTTCACCAATTTCTAAGTGGAATAGTATTACAAGTCTTTCACTGCAAAGCTGTTTCTTCTTTTTCTATACGTTGGAAGAACACAGAGAAGAAAATCAAAAACTAGATTTATAGAAACATAAAAAAACTAGCTCTCTTACCCTTCATTAGGTATATAAATGAATCCTATGCTTTTATAATAAAATCTGCAGCTCCTTAGCAAACTTCAGCAATTAGGAAGCCTATTGAGCCAAAGAGGTCTAAAACAAGCATCTAATGGTAAAATCGCCAAATAAACCTCACGTAATAGAGAGTCATGTGACGACCACTTCAATGTATCTCTCAAAATGCCATTTACACAAACTCTTCGTGTATAAACAACTACAACTATGTGTTACTGCTCTGCTCATTTTAAAACACAAATATTGAGTTTTTTAAGGTAAAGTTATTGGTGCCCTTTTCGCAGCATTCTGCTCACAACATCTGGCTAATTTCAAGGTTTCTAAATATATTTTTCCTAACACGAGGCTGCACCGTCTTAAGCACGACAGCATCAGAGTTAAGAGGAAAAAAGAAGGCATTTAAGAGAAATGACTGGAAAGTTTATCTGCTTGGAACAAAAGGAGGAGAAAAAGCAACTATGCACTTAACATGCTCTTAACACAAAACTGACCAGCAACTTGATAGCAAAGTAAGAAAGACTAAGTATTCTAGAGAAATGCGGTAAAACTGCAAAACTAATGTTCAATATATTTGCTGAAAGAGCTAAACCTTGCCCATGCCCTATCCTCTTTTACAACTGCTACAAAACGCTAGTTACCGAAAGAAAAATAAAATCCCGAAGTGCAACCATGAACACTACCATTTTTCCCACCCTGGTGACCCCATTCTTAAAGCCGTGACGGTGGGTGTTAATGCACCTAACTGGTGTCACCTGCAGCCGTGAAGGCAGCCCGGCCGCCCGTCCTCGGCCCGCAGGCGCTGCCCAGGCCCGCCGCCCGGCCGTGCCGTGCCCCGCGGCAGCGCTGGCGGGCAGGGACATGCCCCTGGGCAACCCGCACCAAGAAAGCGCCGAGCGCAGGACACGCTCTCACCCCGTTACTCCCCGGCACAATCAGCCCTGGCCTTTCCAGAGTCACCCGGCCCGGGGTGGCCTTTTTCGGCAGGCGGCCTTCTAACGCCGCGAGGGCTGTGCGCCGTTCGCCCGGTCCAAATCTTCCCGCGGATCCCCATCACCACAAGGGTGCCGAGCAGCCAAATGCTTGCCCGGGAAAGCGAGCAGCAGCCCTCCAGCTGCCGCTCCGACCTGCCGGCCCCTCCGCGCACGGTGCCGACCCTCCCGCCACACGCTCCCCGGGCCCGCCGCCCTGCGCGCCCCGGGCGGCGGAGCCGCCGCGAGCGCGGCTGCACGGTTACCTCCCACGGGCTTGGTGACGGCACCGTTGGGCCTCCCGCGGGTGCCCATGGGGCTGCCGTTCTGCTCCAGCCTGGCCACCTTCCCGGGGGGGGGCCCTTTGACATCGGGGCTGCCGCTGCCTCTGTCGGGGCTGTCCCGCAGGCAGGGGCTCTCGCTCCTCCGCTCCATGCTCGGAGACGCTGCTCCCGCTGGCAGGTCGCAGTAGAAGGAGCACGGACCTAGGACGAGAGAAACAAGGGGAGCTTCAGTGGCCGACGGCCAGTATCGGCCCCGCTCACCCGGCCGGGTCCCCGCTGCGCGTCTCTACGGCAGTTCGGTTCCGTGAAGCCGGGCGAGTAGCAGCCGGGTGCGATGCCGCCCCGCTGCCGCCGCCGGAGCCGGCCCCGCTGGAAGCGAGCGGTTCGCCTCACCCGCCCGGCGCCAACCTGCCGCGGGCGGGGGCAGGCAGTGCTGCGCCCCGGTTCCCATCGCGCTCGGCAGGCAAGCAGCCCACCCGCCTGCCGCAGCAAGGTGCTGCGCCCCGGGTCCGGCCACAGTCCCGGCCCGCCCCCGGGGGCCGCGGGGAAGAGGCTGCCGGTCCAGACGGTCCCACTGGCACGGCCCCCCCGCGCCGGCCAGCTGTGCAGCCACGGAGTAGCCGGCTGCTGGCGAGGAAGCCTCTAGCGAGCGGCTCCCGCGAGCTGGCTGCTGTACTTACTGCTTATAGCCTGTCTGTAAGTTGGCTGAGTTGGGCTCTGTCCATGGATCAGAAGTAGAGAATCCAGGGTGGAAAGTTTTCCTGTTTCCTTCTCCCACGCCGCGTTCTTCGCTTCTACTCCTTCCCCCCACCCCCAGCCCCCTCCTCGTCCTCCTCCGGGGGTGCTGGGGCGGCGGGGCCGGGGCGGCTGCCCGCGGGGCGGCAAGGACAGAGCCCCGTCCCGGAGGGTCCCGGGTGGCGAGCGGAGCGGAGCGGGGAGGTCGGGACGAGGGGGCGGGGAGGCGCGGGGCCGTCGGCTGCGGCGCGGAAGAGAAGGGAGAGGGAGCCGAGTTCTCACACCTTCAGCGGAGAAAATCAATACAGGGGAAAACAGGGGGAGGAGGAGGGAGAGCCGCTCTCCCGAGCTCCGCGGCGGCGGCGAGTGCCTGGCGGCGCGGGGAAGTGGCGGCGGCGGCCCCCCGTGTGTCACTTTCAATCGCTCCCTCCTCTGCCAGCGACAGCAGCGGCAAGAGGGACTCGCCACAGAAAGCGGAGAAACGGTTATTAGTTGCGTTGAGTCATCGAGGCAAAGTGAGTCCTTTTTGGGGTTGTCCTTGCTTTCGGGTTTGGTGTATGTGCACGCCTGTGTGTGTGTGTCTGCCTGTCTGTCTGCGCGGCGTTCCCGTCCCAGGGCTGTGCATCCCAAACATCGCCACCCCTCCTCGCCTTGACACCCCTCCCCCTCCCCGCCCCCCCGCAAAAATCAAGTCTCGCTGCTACCTCGGAATCGGGCACAGACGGGCGCGCAGCAGCCCACCTCTTCCCGGCCCGGCCCGACCCGCCCCGCGGAGCCCCGGCCCCGCTGCACGCACGGGTGGGAGGCAGAAACCCACCTGGCAGGAAATTAAACACCAATAAATAAATAATACATCTCGCACGCGAAAAAGGAGCTCGGTGCCGCGCGAAGGGAGGGCGTAGGGCGGGCTGGGTGGGGAAGGGGAAGCGTGGCAGGACGAGGCGGTGGTGACAGGAGAGACCCAGGGCAGAAAGGCGCAAGGGCAGGGGCAGTCGGGCTAGGGGAGGGCCGAGAGGGAACGAGAGGAGGAGGAGGAGCCGGGAGAAGGGGAAGGGCGGGGTGGGGGGGGATGGTGGGGAAGTGGGAATTGGGGACACCGGACTGACCGAAGAGGAGCAAAGCTGCTGCCACCGGCATGCAGTCCAGACAACCGATGCAGCCCATGCGGCCTCGCAGCCTTCTGCCACCCGCCCCCCACCTCCGTCCCCCTGGGAACCGACCGACGGCGGGGATCCTCCCGCAACCTCTCTCCGCCGGGGCGAGGCGACAGTAACTTTTCGCGGTGCGGTGGGGGCTGCCGCCTCGAGGGCCGGTCGCGCTTCCTCCAGGCCTCCAAGAGCCAGCGACCGGCCCCAGGTAGGGCCCAGCCGTCGCCCTGTTCTCCGCGACCGGCTCCAGGCAGTTACCGGGGTGGTCCTGAATAATTGATGGCGGGGGCCGGGAGAAGGTGACAAGCGGGCAGGGAAGCGCTGCTGCTGCCGCCGCTAAATTATTTAATAGCGGAGCTCCGGGTAGGGCATGACAGCGCTACCTAAGTGCAGCCCGTGGTGCGGGCAAAGCTCCGGCCGGGAAGTCGCAGCGGAGCGGGATCGAGCCCCTCACCAGTCCCGGGGCGACGAGCGGTCACCCGCCAGGCAGGCAGTCCCCTCTCTCTCTGATGCAAGGTGCACCGCGCCGCTTCCTGGGGCCGGCAGCGGCGTGGGCGCGTCTCCCAGCGAGGCCATGCCCCGCGGGCGCCCCGAGGACCCGCAGCGCCCCCTGCCCGGCCCGAGGGCGCGGGGGAATGAGCCGGCAGCCCCGCGCCGCCGAGCCCTCGCCGCCCGCCCGGCGGCGGAACGAGACCCGCGTTAAGGTGGACCGAGGGAATCCCTTCTGGCGCGGGGGGCGGGCGGCGGACGGGCGGCGAGAAAGGAGGCGGCGGCGGCGGGCACCCAAAGTGCCCCAACACCCCCCTCCTCCGCCTCCCCCGCCGCCCTTCCGCGGCTGGCTCCCTGAGCGGCGCCGCCCTCCCCGCCGTGCTCCCTTAAGAGCTCTGCCTTTTACGGTGGCGCCGGAGGGTCAAAAAAAGGGGGCTACCGGGGGGGTTAGTGGGGAGCGGAGCCCCCCATCTCGGGCACGGCGACACTGGGGACCGGCGGGAGCATCACGGCCACGGGGCAGACCTGGTGACAGATCTTCGTTCGTCCTGTAAGCGCCCAAGGACAGTAAAATGGGCAGCAGTGGTTGTCCCGAGCCCGCACGCAATCGTCCCAGTGCTGCCTCGGGGTTTGGAGGAGGGTCAGGTCCCCACAGGAGATCGGCTGCCGCCGGTCCCGCCGTGCCCCTCCTTCCCTCCGAGTGGCAGTGACAGCCCAACCGCCCGCCGAGCGCTCGGGTGTCCCGGTGAGCTCCGGGCCGCCCCTGAAAATAGTGCCGGGAGAAGCAGCGGATCCCCGGGCACGGTAAGACAAATCATCCCTTCATTCCACATCCGACCACCGGGCCGGCCCCGAGGTGTCACAGCAGTGCCAAGTGCGGCTTTCCCCGCCTCGGCCGAAGCACTCGTGTCTCTCTACCCGCCTCGGCAGGGGCAGGGGGTCCCGCTGCCGAAGTCTGGACGCGGTGCTAGCTTTGCCCCGAGACAGCAAACCGTGAACACGGGTGGGAGCTGTGTCCCATCGCCGGCTGAAGTCGGGGGGAGCCAGAGAAGATACGGGGAACAGCGGAAGGCCGAGGGCGGGGGGCCCGGGACACCGTCAGGGCCAGGGCTCCGGGAGCGGTCGGAAAAGTGAGCGGCGGTGCCGGGAACGCGCAGGCTGCGGAGGAGAGAGCGCGGCGCCTGCCGCCAGCCAGGTCTCCTGCCTTCTCTCTCAGAAAGGAGCCTTAAAGTTTGCAGAACTCTCTGTTTTCTTTTTAAATAACCCGATCTAACTTTTCTCCCTTTCCCCCTCTTAATTTGATAAAGCTCAGCAGCATGGAAGTTAACGTTCTTACATGGAAGTTAACGTTTTCCACCAGCTATCGAATAATTGAATAATGTTTTGTTCTTACCTTTGATGTTGAACTACGAATGCCCGAGGATCAATGGCCAGAAAGTTAGAAGAATTGGTGATTTAGGACTTCAGTACTTCTGGAAAAAAAAAATGCCAATGGTTTAGCCAGGATCTTCCCTGTCTGATTCGTTACTATTATTATATCTGATGATGTGGATGGATGGAGAGATTCAATCCAAGCCCATTAATGAGGTATTTTATAAACACCACCGTCTGAAGATCTTCATTTACATTTTGTCAGTGATCCTTTCCTTAACAGCGGAGACGTGTGGTGACAGCGCGATTACAGGACTTTAGTAAAGCTCCTATAAGAGTACAACTGGCTTGTTAATCGATTAATATTTTATTAAGTGTAAATATTTTATCAAGTTTTTAGGAAAACTATCGATTCTAAATTATTAAACTAGTCAGAAGGGCATTTGAATAATGCATACAATTAAATACATTTAAATATATGTAGCGATTGCTTCATTTGTAATGAATCCCCTGCACCTTTCTCTTGCTTTCGTTTTTTCTTCACCGGCAGCTGGTTTCTCATTTGCGCGTTCACTGGAATATCAGGATTACCGAATAGTCCGTATTTATAAACTGAATGTTTACATAAAATACTCTGAGAAAATAACTTTGAAATCGGGAGCCATAATAATTTCAAAATTTCGACGCGGAAGCAAAGGGGCTTGTTAGTGAAACTGAGGGAAACTTAACAGAGTTCGCATAAATGTTTGGTAACTTCTGTTTTGTAAACATCGCTTAATTTATATGGATTTTATGAAGCATGATGCTTATTTTTCTTATACATATTTTTCCCAATAAAAGACTTTTCTCTCTGTTTTGAATTATAAACGCTTTTTTCTCCCCCGTTGCATGATTTTCACATGTTGTCCATATTTCCACTGGAAAAAAAAAGACGATTACTTCCCATTGCTTTCCTCACCCGTCTTCAATGTCGCTATTTAAAAAAACCCTATAAAAATATTAATAATATTAATAACCTATTTTTCTTTTTCTAACACGAAATCGGACACGAGAATTTTCTGCTCTCTCACTCTGATAGGAGCAGTTGATGCGCTCCGAGTGCCCAGCGCTCCTTGTTACTGAAGTTTGAGGACGCCTTAAGTCGTTGATTGCCAAAAAATTTTGAACAAAAACACCTCCTTGGAAAGGTTTGGTTTTCATTAACTACCGCTTTTAAAGCCAAAACGCATGGAAGCGATCGCAGCTCTGTGCCCACACAGGCTTCAGAGGCGGGCGGCTGCAGCCGGGTCTGCCGCGACCTCCCGGGCCTCCGCTGCCCGCGATGCCGCCCCCTGGGCCGAGGCGGCTCTCGCCCCACGTAGCCGGCCCGAGAGCCGGCCCCCGTGGCTCTCCCCGTGCCAGGATCCGCCGGGCGCTCTCTGCGCCTGCTGCTTTCTCCCCCTTCCACCCCGTAGTTCCCGGGGGCCGCGGCGCCCGCGGGACGGCTGCCTCACCGCGAGGTGCTGAGCGCTGTGGGCCGGCCGAGGCGAGGTCCACGGTGCCGCACACTGGGGTCCCGGGGGACACCGGCCCACCGCCCGGGGGCACTGCCTCGAAGCGCAGAGATCCCAGGCTGCCACGAGGGCACAGCGGCCGGCGGGCTCGGGGCAGCGTGGCCCCCAGCACCGTCGAGGTAGCTCTGGGTCCCTTCGGGGTGACGGCTGCAGCCCGCACTGCCAAGACGCCGGGGTCAGGAGGGGAGAGCGGAGAGCGGATCCCACAGGAGAGGGCTCCGGTGTCCCCGCTCGGCCCGGGCTACATCGCGGCGGGACCCGAGCCTGCGGCCGCTCCTGCGGACCGCGGCCGGGACCACCGGCCCGACCCGTCCCGGTGCCTTCGCCTTTGCACAGCGCCATCGCGCGGGCACTGGCGCCGGCGCAGCCCGAGGCTGCCGCTGCTCCCGCCCGCCCGCGGCCCCGGCGGTGCAGGAACGGCGCAGCACCTGCCGCGGGCCGAGCGGCCCCTCCCGCCGCCCTCCGCTGCGCCCTTGGCCTTTG